TCTAAAGTTACACATCCAGCCAGTGTCATAGCTGAATTTTGAGCATCAAACCTAAGTCTGCCTAGTTCCAGACACTTTAAAACATTAGACCATTCTGGTAATAACAGTATTCAATGATCATTGCAAAATGGTGGAGTATTTTTTCAGGTCAGGCTCAATATAGACATTGGAATGTCCTGCCAAAAGCCAAAATTAGATTGAAACTCCATTCTGACACTGTATTGGGGTGTGCTCACATCAGGAAGATGATGCAGAGAGCCCCAGTTGTATTGATATAAAGGAGCACCAGTTGTGTGGCAATCAGAAGCTGCTACTTAAATTTTGCAGAGATGCATGGGAGTAAGACAAAATTCAGTGATACCGTTGACCAAGAATATGTACTCACAGTCTTTATACTAAGCAACTAGAGGTAGAAAAATTAAGCATGTGCTTCAGGTATATTATAATCATTCTGACCAAGATCAAAGTGAGTGGCAGGTGACACAGAAAAGAGGCCTGAAGAGAGAAGAACCCAACCCAGGAGAGAAGTGTTTGCTTTAGCCACATGTGTGTGGCTAAGGGCTTCACTAATTCTTTAGTGGGTGGGGAAGTGAGGCTTGTATACTTGTTAAGTGTGTTTATGTATGTGTGTGTAAGATAACAATTCAGAATACTCAATCCTTATTTCATTGGGTTTTAGTTTAGGTTTAAAAGCCTAAACTAGGTTTAAAAACCTAGTTTTAGGTTTAAAAACCTTTTCCTGCTTTAATAAGGTTTTTGTATAAAGACCCTTTTTGGATCCCTTCTCAGCCTTTTGGCTAAGATCAAATATAGTATCTGTTCTTATCAGTTTAAAGACCCTTTTGGATAATGTCATATGTAAGTGTTTAGACAAGGTTAGCCTTAGTTAATATATGTGGGCAAGTTATCTGCTTATATGTCTAAATATCATTTTTAAAAAGTTAAAAAGTCAAACTGTAGTAAAACATTTGATATTGCCCCGGTGTTAAAAAAAAAAACTCAGCATGTAAAGATCTATCATAAATTGATAAGAAACACACTACAATAATAAGAGAAGAAATAGGTAGAAGACATGAACTAGTACTTTACTATAGGAGAAGGATAAATGGCAAATAAATAGGAAAAGAGAGCACTCCAGCTAGTAATTAAAGAAATTAAGCCCCACTAAGTGTCATAAGGTAGTGGAATTCTCCAAATAAGCAATCCATTCATTACTTTTTTGAAACAAGACATGACCATATCAAACAAAAGGCAGGCTGAAAATGCATACTAGAAAAATTTTTAAACATCTATGTGTACTAAGTATGATACATTTACCTTTTAAATCAACATGGGTTGGAAAATTATAATTACTAATTTGCAGTGAGTCTTTTATATTCCAAAATTGTTTTTGTAAACATCAATTTGTACATTTTTCTAATAAATTCTATCCTCAGAAATGTTTAGAAATATGATGAAAGATTTACATACGTAGATGTACATAGCACCATAGTGGAGGCATATTTCCATGAAGAAGACTAGCAGAGAGGCATGCTGTCGGAATAACCATGCAGATGGACCCTTATAGTTTTCTCCCGCTCAACTTCTTAAACATGAAAACGTAGATAACCTTCTGAAAGCCTCAGATCTGAGAAGGAGGCCCTCACAAGACAGGTTGTGTCCCCAAAAGAGGATTTATTAAATTTGGAGGGAAAGACACTCCAGCTGAGTTTGATAGCTGCCCAATGCCCTGTTCTCTTAGCAGATGTCATCATCCATCTAAGAAAGGCACTCCAACCAGGGCCCTTTTGGCTCTTGTTCTAAGGGCACAATGAGAACATTGCTTGATTCTTAATTATAAGTAAAAGAAACCTACTAACAGATTTAAGCAGAAAGATTTTGAGTAGAATATTGGGCAGAGGTCTGGAGAACTAAGTTCTGAAATGTGAAAGTATGATGAAGGCTAGATAGCTCTCAGGACTCCAACCACCTCCTGCATAGAAAGAGCCTAATGCAGATACTGAATCCTGGGTATTACTGCCTCAATGAGAGCTGCCCTTGAAAAATGGATATTGCTGCCACAGTTACTGTACCACACAAATAGATTTACCACTGTTTGTCTTCAAAGCATTACTAGTTTCAATGAAAAAATCTGGTGCTGATGTAGATAATGAACAGAGCTTCAACAGAGGAAACTTGGGTCATTAGTATCTGATGTGTGGCTTCAACTTGTGGGAGGTTTGTTCTGCCTCCCACAAAAATTCCTATGTTAGGGAATGCTCTACCCGTGTTCCCAGTGTGACCAATTCATTGTTTTTTCTAAAAGTGACGAGAGCCTATTGACTAGAAGGCAGATTAAAAACAAACATTGGGAAATGTTATTAAATGTTGAAGGAAATGTATTAGGAAAGAAATCAAAACAAACAAGTGGTGTTGGGAAAACTGGACAGCCACATGCAGAAGAATGAAACTGGGCCATTTCCTTACACCACACACAAAAACAGACTCCAAATGGTTGAAAGACCTAAATGTAAGACAGGAGTCCATCAAAATCCTAAAGGAGAGCACAGACACCTCTTCGACCTCAGCCACAGCAACTTCCTGGAAACATCGCCAAAGGCAAGGGAAGCAAGGGCAAAAATGAACTATTGGGACTTCATCAAGATAAAAAGCTTTTGCACAGCAAAAGAAACAGTCAACAAAACCAAAAGACAACTAACAGAATGGGAGAAGATATTTGCAAATGACATATCAGATAAAGGGCTAGTATCCAAAATCTATAAAGAACTTCTTAAACTCAACACCCAAAGAACAAATGATCCAATCAAGAAATGGGCAGAAGACGTGAACAGACATTTTTCCAAAGAAGACATCCAAAGGGCAAACAGACACATGAAAAAGTGCTCAACATAGCTCGGCATCAGGGAAATCCAAATCAAAACCTCAATGAGATACCACCTCACACCAGTCAGAATGGCTAAAATTAACAAGTCAGGAAATAACAGATGTTGGCAGGGATGCAGAGAAAGGGGAACCCTCTTACACTGTTGGTGGTAGTGCAAGCTTGTGCAGCCACTCTGGAAAACAGTATGGAGGTTCCTCCAAAAGTTGAAAATAGAGCTACCATATGACCCAGCAATTGCACTACTGGGTATTACCCCAAAGATACAAATGTAGGGATCCAGAAGGGTACGTGCACCCCGATGTTTATAGCAGCAATGTCCACAATAGCCAAACTATGGAAAGAGCTAAGATGTCCATCGACAGATGAATGGATAAAGAAGAGGTGGTATATATATACAATGGAATATTATGCAGCCATCAAAAGGAATGAAATCTTGCCATTTGCAATGACGTTCATGGAACTGGAGGGTATTATGCTGAGCGAAATAAGTCAATCAGAGAAAGACATGTATCATATGACCTCACTGATATGAGGAATTCTTAATCTCAGGAAACAAACTGAGGGTTGCTGGAGTGGTGGGGGGTGGGAGGGATGGGGTGGCTGGGTGATAGACATTGGGGAGGGTATGTGCTATGGTGAGCGCTGTGAATTGTATAAGACTGTTGAATCACAGACCTGTACCTCTGGAACAAATAATACATTATATGTTAAAAAAAAAAAAAAAAGATAGCAGGAAGGGAAGAATGAAGGGAGGGAAATCTGAGGGGGAGATGAACCATGAGAGACTATGGACTCTGAAAAACAAACTGAGGGTTCTAGAGGGGAGGGGGGTGGGGGGATGGGTTAGCCTGGTGATGGGTATTAAAGAGGGCACGTACTGCATGGAGCACTGGGTGTTATATGCAAATAATGAATCATGGAACACTACATGAAAAACTAATGATGTAATGTATGGTGATTATTATAGCATAATAATAAAAAAAATTCATAGAATGCATGAAAAACACTAAATTCAAATAAATTAAGAGGAATATAATGTATAATTAAAAGTGTGGACCCTGGAGTGTCCCTGTTTTGGTTTCAAAACCAATTCTGCAACTTGCTAACTTACTAGCTATTGCAACTAACCACCCAATAACTGGGAAAGTTATTTAAAGATTTTTTGCCTCAGTTTTTTCACTTGTGAAATGGTACACAAAGCACGTCAAAAGAAAGATGACACAGAGAAAAATTCATGGACTTAAATACATTCTTAAAAAAAATAATGAAAATAGATGAATTAAGTCTTTAATTCAAAAAGTCAAGAACAGGAACATAATCCTTTAAAAAGCAATTAATAAAGATAAGTAGAGAAATTAATGAGCTAATAAATGTAAAATGTAAAAATAATTGAATTGATAAATAAAATGGAACTGTTTATTTAGAAAAGAAAAAACACCTGAAATAGATTAATTTTTACACTTTAATTTTTAAAGCCTATTGTAATAGAACGTAGAAAATGTATATATATATACACATATCTATACACACACACACACACACATATATATATAAATATAGTCAGTTAAAAGGCAAACTGATAAAACAAAGTTTGTACATATGCTGAAAAGGATTAATTTAACAGTTTTAGAAATCAGCTTGAAAAACCTATAAAGTCCAGTAAAAAATAAGTAAAAGACAATTTTCAAAAGAAAGAAAATAAATAAGGATTTGAGCACCCCTAGTGAATAGTTTAGGCAAGAATCACCATTCCAGAATAATGCCTTAATAAAACTTTTTTTTTTCTGACCAAGTGGGTTGCATACCTATTGTAGAAATCTGGATGCCAACCTAGGAAGCTTCCATGAAAATATCCATCATTGAAAGCTCTATGCTATGGAAATTATGGGTATCTGATGACAAAGCTTCTCATATTGAGGCTCTCTGAACTTCAAGGAGATTATCTTATTCTACAGTACATGTGTTTAGCCAACCTATGCAATAAACATTAATAAATACATTCATAATTTAAGAAACTGAGTGAAATAGATGGAATGAAAAGGGCAAAATCAGATTAAATATATATAGAAGAAATATGTAAATATGGGGCTTTACTGTCTATATTTCTGTTTTATAGGCTTTGTCTCATGGACCAAATTTGAGAGCAGTTATAAACATGTATCGTAGACAGATCTATCGTGTTAAATATCGACTTGGTCTTTGGAGGACAAGACAAATTATAAACTTTGTAGAACTAGAGGAATGGATGGACAGAAAAAAGTGTAAGTGATACCGTCATTTCTGGTTTGATTTTAAACTTGGAATTGATTTAACCATTGGAATTTTATATATAATTTACATGCAATTACCCCTAGACACCATAGGTAGATCTATTTTATATTGCTGAAACCTATTTGCATTTTACTTATTTTTTAAAAGTTTTAAAAAAAGTTTTATTTAAATTCCAGTTAGTTAACATGCAGTGTAATGTTAGTTTCAGGTGTACAATATGATGATTCAATACTTCCATACAATATCGGTGGCTATTTGCATTTTAAAGTGATGTATATTTGATTTAATTTATTAGGATCCTCTGTTTATAAGCAAGAGATAACCCATTCTAGTTAACCAAAGCAAAAAGGAAATTTAAAAGAAAAATATAGGGAAGGTAGCTAAAGAATCAGCTTTCACACAGAACTCAAAACAGAACTACTTCAGGGCACCTGGGTGGCTCAGTTGGTTAAACATCTGCCTTCTGCCCAGGTCATGATCCTAGGGTCCTGGGATCAAGCCCCACATCCAGCTCTCTGCTCAGTGGGGAGTCTGCTTCTCCCTCCTTCTGCCCTTCCCCCCTGCTCATGCTCTCTCTCTCTCTCTCTCATGCTCTCTCTCTCTCAAATAAATAAATAAAATCTTAAAACAAAACCCAAAACAAAAAACAAAAAACAGTGCTACTTCAGAGATTAGAGATCAAAAAAGAAAAATCTCTTTTTGCCTTTGGGAGATAGATAAGCTATTATCATTTTAAGACTTTTTTGTTTCTATGCTTTAAATTCAAATTCCAAGGAGAGAGCACCTGATTGGTTTAATTTGAATCATGAGTCCAACACTCTGCCATGGGAAGACAGAGAACTTTTCTTGAGAGTTGAACAGAAGCTCTATCCATTGGGGAAGGAGTAGCTCCCCAAAGGAAAACTGCATATTGCTAACATAAGAATAGCTAATGGACACCTAGCAGACTAGATAGAAATCTATTATGTATGTGTTGCTTGTTAGTGCTGAAATTCTGTCCACAGAACAATTTCCCTAATATATATCTTAGCTTTCAGAGAGCCTGATTCCTATTATATTTAATGAATTTACATTGCTTAGGATTAGGATGGAGATTATAGCCAGTGTCTTGATTAAAAAAATAATAAATGAGGACTTCTTGTTTCTGGTTCCACATATAAGGAGCTTGGAAATCCCCACTCCATCTTAACAATAAGTAAAAAAGCTGAACAGACTAAAAATTTTACTTTTTTTCATGGGTCTATAAGAGAAGAGAAGCCACAGGGCAAAAAACTGCCCCAAGATTAAAGAGACAGACACACAAATACAGGGAGTTGCAGCTTCCCAGAGCAGAGACTCATGAGTAGAAATGGATGTGGGAGGGAACAAGTGTTGGCAAAGATGTGGAAAAAAAGGAACTCTCATACACTATTGTTGGGAATGCAAACTGGTGCAGCCACTGTGGAAAACAACATGGAGGTGCCTCAGAAAATTAAAAATAGAACTATCCTATAATCCAGAACTAAAACACTACTGGGTATTTACCCAAAGAATATGAAAACACTAATTCAAAAATATATATGCATCCATATATTTATTGTAGCATTATTTACAATAGCCAAATTATGGAAGCAATGCAAGTGACCATTGATAAATGAATGGGTAAAGAAGAAGTGGTATATATACACTATGGAATATTACTCCACCATAAAAAAGGAATGAAATCATGCCATTTGCAACAACATGGTTGGATCTAGAATAAATGCCAAGTAAAATAAGTCAGTCAGAGAAAGACAAATACCATATGATTTTACTCATATGTGGAATTTAATAAAGCAAATAAATAAAGAAAAAAAGAGAAAAACCAAAACCAGACTATTTAGAGAACAAACTGGTGGTTACCAGAGGGGAAGTGGGTGGGGGGATGGGTGAAATAGGTGAAAAGGGGACACCTGGGTGGCTCAGTCCGTTAAGCGGCTGCCTTCGGCCCGGGTCATGATCCCAGAGTCCTGGGATCGAGTCCCACATTGGGCTCCTTGCTCAGCAGGGAGCCTGCTTTTCCCTCTGTCTCCCTCTGCTTGTGCTCTCTCTGTCAACTAAATAAAATCTTTAAAAAAAAAAAAAGAAATAGGTGAAAAGGATCAAGAGTATACTTATCACGATGAGCACTGAGTCATGTAGAGAATTGTTGAATCACTATATTGTACATCTGAAACAAATGTAACACTGTATGTTAATTATACTGGAATTAAAATTAAAAAAAAAGAAATTGATGTGAGAACCAGTGCCAGGCAGGAAAATTGAACTGTCATTGACAATAGTTGGAAGCTCAGTGTGAACAATTCAGAGAGTTAAAAACTCCAGGAGGACTCAGTCATAAGACTACCACAGTACGGTGATATTTACTTCCAGGAGCTTGACCAGATTCCCACAGTAATTGTCAGAGAAAGGGAACCATTTTGAAATTTGCCAGAGCACACTCTTCTTAAGAAGGCCTACCTTAAGGGGAAACTAGTTAACCAGAGTCTAGCCTACTGGGTTTTTTTCAGAACTTAACTGACCTGGTGAAGAGAAATACCCAATTTCAGTCCACTTTGGCCATCCTGTCCCACCTATAGGGGGAAAGAAAAAAACCGAGAAACACTTGTATAGTTCACAGTTCAGAGACACAGGGTCACTAAGAGACTACACCCTAATCATAGGTCTATGGAACAGTTCCTCCCATACCTTACTACCACATTACTAAAGGTCCATTTACAATAGTCCCTTTTGCCTGTTATAATGTCTGGCTATCAAGAAAAAATTGTAAGGTGTACAAAAAGGCAGAAAACACAGTTTGAATAGACAAAGCAAACATCAGAACTGGACATGGTGGGGATGTTGGAATTATCAGACCAGAGATTTAAAACCACTATGATTAATAAACTACAGGCTCTAAAGGATAAAGTAGACAGCATGCAAAAGCAAGTGGGTGATGTAAGCAGAGAGATGGAAATCCTAAAAAAGAACCAAAAAGAATGTTACACTGTAATAGAAATGAGGAATGCCTTTGATGTGCTTATTAGTAAATTGGACATGGCTGAGGAAAGACTGTCTGAGCTAGAGGATAAATCAGTAGAATCCTTGAAAACCAAAAAACAAAGAGAACAAACACTGAAAAAAAAAAAAAAACCACCTGAACAAAATATCCAGGGGCTATAATATAAGGATAATGGGAATACCAGAAGGAGAAGAAAGAGAGAAAATAACAGAAAATAATGACTGAGAATTTCCCCAAATTACTCTTGGACACTGAACCACAGATTCAAGAATCTCAGAGAACACCAAGCAGAATAAATTCCGAAAACTACACTTATTTTGGTGTAGGCATTATCATCTTCAAACTACAGAAAATCAAAGATAAAAAAAAAATCCTGAAAGAAACCAGATGGAAAAACACCTTGCCTATAGAGGAAGAAAGATAAGAATTACATGCAATCTATTAGTAACCATACAAGCAAGAAGAAGGGAGTGAAATATTTAAAGTGGTGGGAGAAAAAAAAAAAACACACACCTAAACCTAAAATGGTGGGAGAAAAAAAAAACCTGCCTAAGAAGAAAAGAACAAGGACACACATTACTAATATCAGAAAAAGGGGATATTTCTATAGATACTTTGGACATTAAAAGGAAAATAAAGGAATACTATGAACAACTCTACGCTCACAAATTTAATATACTAGATGAAATGGACCAGTTCCTTGAAAGACACAATCTGCTAAAACTCAAACAAGAAGAAAGAGATAGTCTGAATAGGCCTATGTCTATTAAAGAAATGAGTTGATAATTGATAACCTTCCAAAACAGAAAGCACCAGGCCCAGATGGCTTCACTGGTGAATTCTACCGAACATTTAAGGAAGAAATTATACCAATTCTCTATAATCTTTTAAAAAATTATTTATTTAATTATTTAATTATTTAATTATTTAATTACTTGAGAGAGAGAGAAAACATGTGAGCAGGAGGGGAGGGGCAGAGAGAGAATCTTAGCAGGCTCCATGCCCAATGTGGAGCCTGACATAGGGCTCTATCTCATGACCCTGAGATCATGACCTCAGCCAAATTTAAGAGTTGGACACTTAACTGACTGAGCCAACCAGGTGCTCCAATTCCTTATAATCTTTTTCAGTGGTTAGAAGCAGAGGGAATACTTCCTAACTCATCCTATGGGGCTAGCATAAACCTAACACCAAAAATAGGCAAAGATAAGAAAACTACAGACCAAAATCTCTCTAAATATAGATGCAAAATCCTCAATAGAATAGAGCAAATAGTAGCTATCCACATGCAAAAAAAAAAAAAAATCTAAACACAGACCTTCATCCTTTACAAAAATTAACTCAAAATGGATGATAGGCCTAAGTGCAGAAAAATGAAACTTCTGGAATGTAACATAGGAGAAAACATAGATGATCTTGGATATGGTGCCTTTTTAGATACAACACTAAAGACATGGTCCATTAAATAAATAATTGAAGATCTGGATTACATTAAAATTAAAAACTTCTACTTTGCAAAAGATAATGTTAAGAGAATGAGAATACAAGCCACATGCTGGGAAAGATATTTGCAAAAGACGCATCTGATAAGGACCGCTATTGAACATATACAAAGAACAACTCAGGAATAATAAAACAAACAACTTGAATAAAATTGAACCAAAGACCTCACCAAAGAAGATATACAGATGATAAGCATTTGGAATGTTCAATATCATTGTTATTAGGGAAATGCAAATTAAAACAGCAAGATACACTACACACCTATTAGAATGGCTAAACTCCAGGACACTGTCAGTATCATATACTGGGATGTGGGGCAACAGGAAGTATTATTCATTATTAATGAGAATGACAATGATACAGCCATTTTGGAAAACACTGTGGTGGTTTCTTATAAAACTAAACATACTGTTACCATATGATCCAGCAATCATGCTCCTTGGTATTTATGCACAGGCATCGAAAACTTATAGGCACACACAACCTACACATGGATGTCTATATCTGTTTTTCATAATTGCCCAAGCTTAATAGCAACCCAGATGTCCTTCAGTAGATGAATAGATCAATAAACTGTGGTACATCTGGACAAGGGAGTGTATTTAGAGATAAGAAGAAATGAGCTATCAAGCTATGAAAAGACATAGAGGAATCTTAAATGCATATTACTGGGGCACCTGGGTGGCTCAGTCGTTAAGCGTCTGCCTTCAGCTCAGGTCATGATCCCAGTGTTCTGGGATCGAGCCCCACATCGGGGTCCCTGCTCCGCAGGAAGCCTGCTTCTCCCTCTCTCACTCCCCCTGCTTGTATTCCTTCTCTCGCTGTCTCTCTCTCTCTCTGTCAAATAAATAAATAAGAATCTTTAAATGCATATTACTAAGTAAAAGAAGCCAATTTGAAAAGTCTATATACACTGTATACTTCCCAACCATATGACATTCTAGAAAAGGCAAAACTATGGAGAAAATTAAAAAACTTGTATTTACCAGGAGTGGATGGGGTGGGGGGGGGAGGGATGGACTGGCAGAATATAGAGGATTTTTAAGGCAGTGAAACTATTCTGTACAATACTGCAATGATGGATACATGTCATTATGTATTTGTCTAAATCCATAGAATGTGCAACATCAACAGTGAACTCTGAGGTGAACTGTGGACCTTAGTGATTTTGATGTGTCATCCTTAGTAACAAATGTATAACTCTGTGAGTGATGTTGATAATGAAAGAAGGCTATGCTTATGTGGATGTAGTGGGTATGTGAGAAATCTCTGTACCTTCTTAAAACTACTCTTAAAAAATTGTCTTTAAAAATAATAAACAAAAACCAACAAAATGATGCAAGTAAATTATATTTAATTGAAATAAGCATCTTTCCACTTTATAATGTAAAAGTGCTACATTTTTGGTATAGTTTCATCTAATCATAAAATATGCATTTCACAATGGACTGTACATTCCATGAAGACAGGGACTGTATCTATTAACATTCTTTAATGAATAGCCACTATTAACAAATGCCTGGCTTATCAAAGGGCTCAGAAATATTTGTTGACAGTTTTCATTAACTTTATTACTTACGCTAAAATTATATGCCAACAAATATTTACAGATAACCAGAATTCTTTGAGTTAGAAGGACTCCTTTTCTGTGGCTAGAGGTTAGGGAAAGAAGTCAAAGAGATTCTATGCATGTCACGGAATTAAGCTAGATCAAGTAACCCAGTCCCAACAACTTGGTTTCCAGAGAAAAGGGAAGAAAGGAGCAAAATGTTGGAGATGAAAAGATGGGAAGACGGGAGAAAAAGAAAGCAAGTGAGAGACAGAGGCAAAGAAAGAGAAAAACTTTCTCTCATTGGGAAGCTGCTAGGACTCCTTTACTTAAAAATCTTTTAAAAAAAGTGATTTAAAGAATTACCAACTAAGGCATCCATTTGCACTAAGGGTTAAAATAACTCTAGAGTCCACAGAATTTGCAAGTTATTTTTTTGCCTTTATGTTCCTCAGAAAATTCTCCATCCCTTCCATATGTGGATTGCTAATTGGGTGATATTTGGCAGGTATCTATCTTTACACATTTTTAAGAATCTTTCAATGACCAGAAAATTTCATTTAATTTTCATGATTTAAGTTTTATATTGACCCTGATTAAACCTGCCTAGAATATTAATTCTGCTAGTGTGTGGCTGAACATTTGCTTTTCAAGCATAATATAAAGGTTAAGCACATTATTGTCTATTAATATAGTTACATGGCCATAATGTTAATATGTCTTAGTTTGATCTAGTGAGAAACATCTAAAACTGATTGAATGAAAAACTAATAAAGGTAAATATACTTTTCAAGGACAAATATATTTCCTTAACCAGAAAATTAAAAGTGACATTCTTTGTGTGCTAGTTTGGATTTCTCCAGAATCAGACCCTGAGACAAGAATTCAAGTACAACTAACTTATTTGCAAGCAGATCCCAGTAAATACTGTTAGTGGAATGAATTAAGACAGGGAAGGGATAGAAGTCAAAAAAGAATGCCTTATCAGACCGATTACCATCAACTGGAGCTTGATCCCTCTAGGAACATTGTAGACAACTTTCCTTAAGTGCTGGGCCTTTATCCACCAACTCCCAGTTGAGGGAGGACCAGTGGCTAAGGGCCAGTGCATTGGGGGTCTTAAGTCCCTGGCACTTCTGCTCAACATTTGCTGCACAGGTGGGCAGAGTGGAGTCCTGCAACCAGAGGGAGCCCTGAGGCAATAAAATGAGATGCTGGCGAGTGAAAGTAAGGGCAGCAAGCACAGAAATGTAAGGGACAAGGCAATATGGATGGGGCATCAACAGCAACTGCTCTAGTTTGCTTATTAGAAAAGAGAGAAAAAGCCATAGATATTCTAAATATAAATTTATTTTGCTGCTTTGCTTCAGGATCTGTAATAGTGGCTTATATTTAGGCAATCACTCAATATTTCTTGAATTTGTTGATGTCTCATGACTGCCACCTCCACTGAACAAACAAATGAATAAACGGAAAGTCGAAAGTCCATGTGGTTGAGCGTCAGGATCATACACTGACTCCTGTTAGAAACCACTCTAGTGCCCTTTGTCATTTGGAGCCCATACTTCAGAGCTAAGCCTGTACTGAGGCAGACTTTGTCATCCTGTAAATGCTGGCCCCACCTTCATGGGGCCAATCCATCATACCTGAGAGTGGAGACTCAGTATTACCTTTTTGAAAAGAAAAAATAAAAGGTTTATGGAGAACTACACTTACAAAATGTATGCATCCATTTTCTTGCTTATTATGTAACCCCCGTTACTGCCAAGTATGAGAGATAGGTAAAGGATGGCCCTACTGAGTGGTTTTCTGTGGAAACCTTGAGCCAGGAGTGGCAAGATCACTCAAATCCAGTGACCTTAAACCAGGAAGGAGGAATACATGAAGTTAGGGGGCAAAAGTAGACATCATTCCATTTAGGGGCAAAATCAGAAGTAGAATAAGCAGTCCAAAGGACAATCACCAATACAAGTAGCTAGAATGTAGACAGAAGCCAAAAAGAGATGAAAAAATTAGGGGAACTAAATAAAAATGATTACTTAGATGGGTCAGTAGAAGTCAAGCCCCCAGAAACCCTGACATCAAAGCTATGTCTTATGCTTTAGTTTGAGCCTTGATGTATGCACTGTCCATGGGCAGTTGTCATATAAACCAGACCAGAGGATGCCAGTCTTCTCTTTGGGGAAATATGTCTAAATCTTGACTACTAGGGAATGTGGGAGGGAGAAGCATGCCCCATTTCCTTCTAACCTTCCCCAGGAGGCTGACATAGTGCTACTCTAATCACTAGACATACAAATAAAACTGGAGGGAAACCTTCTTTGAATTTAGATGAAACTTTCTGGTAGTTTGTTCTTGACATTTTATTTATAACAAAAAATATTTCATTTTGTCTCTTTCTTTTAGTCTATGAAACAATGTTTGCTAAGAGAGAAGATTGGCAAGGATTAGAAAGAAGTGAGCTCCTCAAGTTCTTCAATGACTGTGGTCATTTCCCAACCCAGCAGCAAATTGACGAGGTTTGGGACCTGGTCCATAGAGGCGAGTGGTTTCCCATTTCTTATCTTCTTTTCCCTTTCTTTGCCGTTCCCTTTCCTTCTCTTATTTAATTTAAATATAATTTAAATTTAAAATAGTCCCATTTTTCTTTTTCCATTGAACTTGTCCTATAAATCCGTTTCCTAAAATTTTTAAAATCTTATTTTAATGTATATGAAAGGAGAGATTTAAAGACAGGTAAAAATAAGTTAGTACAATACAGTTTTTTTTTTTTTTTTTAGAGGGGTGGAGGAGATGATTTTAAGCTTTTAAGATATTAATACATTTTTTGATACAACATAAGTTATACCTAACTCAGTATATTTTAAGCCACTATATTTTAAATACTGATGCTAAAAAGCTTTCTCCTGGATAGTTAGATTGGGTACTGAAGAACATAGCCAAGTTTAAATGTTTAAACATTGTAAACTATTTCAATAAAATAGAATTTTACAGTTAAAAATAATTTCTTTTCTGAACAGTAAATAGGTGAAAGGATAGTGTTGTTTGAGAATATTTAATAATTTAAATGGAACAACATCCCTCCCTTCTCTAAAGACTGGTAAGGGGGTGGAAATTGTCACCAAGATGTGGGAAGTCTCAACAAATTTTCCTTAATTCCTTAAGGTTCTTCTCAGTGTCTGTGACCATACTAATGCTATGGCTTGCTGTTAGTTCTAAAGATGATGGATGATGTATCTACAATTTAATTGAGAGAAAAAGATAAAACATTTCAGGACCCTTTTAAAATACAACAAAAGAGGGGGCGCCTGGGTAGCTCAGTTGGTTAAGCATCTGCCTTCGGCTCAGGTCATAATCCCAGGGTCCTGGGATCCAGATCGAGCGAGCCCTGTATGGGGATCCCTGCTCAACAAGGAGCCTGCTTCTCCCTCTCCCTCTGCCCCTGCCCACCCACCCCCGGCTTGTTCTCCCTCTTAAATAAATAAATAAATAAATACAAGAAAAGGGCTCACATGCCAATAGAAAGATGATTAAGGTCAGAGTGACAAGGTTGAAGTTTCCTTGTAGGTTTGAAGTTCTCTTTCTTAGTTAGTTCTTAGTTTAAATTTACCTAATTTATTACCTATGGACTTTGCTTTGCCACTGCTGTATCCTTAGTACCTAGAAGAGTTTTCTAGACTCTCAATAACTATTTTTTCATAGACTGAAAGAGGCATTGAAATTGCTTTAGGCTTTACTAGTCATGACTAGACTGTTTAAGTCATTTTTTTCCTGATGACAAAAACCTTGAATGTTTATTATAGAAAATTTGGGAATCTAGAAATATACAAAACAGCTAAGAAGTAGCAATTATAAACATTTGATGTCTATCTTTCTAGGTTTTTTCTGTACATATAATGTTATTTTTATGAAAATTGAGATTATTTTCTTACTGTTGTACCTTTGAATTGATTTCATTTTACTTTATAATAATAATAATGAAAAAAGTAAGCAACAAAATAGCATGAACTAAACATTTCAGAAACTTATACTGATTAGTGTTAGTAACTTAAAATGTAATTTTTTTTTCAAATTAATAGTTTCACGGAGATATTTCCGTCCACTGATTATTTTGGAGTACATCATAAAGACATATTGAAAGCGTGGCTCTGGAATTAGCTTTCCTGGGTTTAATTCCTGGCTTTACCACCTACTAGCTGTATGTCTTTGGACAATTTATTTATCTCTCCTGTTCCTTATTTTTCTCAACCATAAAAGGAAGATAATGCTATCTAAGTCATTGGACTGTTGTGAAGTCTAAATGAAATAATTTCTGTAAAATATATGTCCCAATATAAGTGCTCAGTAAAGTTTGCTATTATTATTCTTAAGTAATTCTTAAGTATACTTAGTTATTTTTATTATTTTTTATTTTGAAAATGTTGAAGTGTTAAACTATTTGTATACTGATTCATTTTATAGAGCTTATTTACTGAATGTTTTCTGTTGGTTTCCACCCTTTCTTTTGATTATCATAATGATCTGTGTGTGAGATGCTCATTTATGTTCATTTTACAGATGAGAGGACTGAGACTTAGAATGAGACTTTTCTAAGCTCACTAGTAGAGTTGGAACTTTATTCCTGGTCTCTTCAAGTCACAGTGTTGTTTCCATTTTACTATGTGGAGAGACTTTAAAAGTCTGTGTTATGAAAGCATAATTAGATGATTAAAACACTCTTGACAGCAAGTATTGCCTTTTATTGATCTTTCGCAGGCTAGCCTAATGCCTTGCGATAAAGTAGGTTTTCTGTGAATGACTGAGTTTATTAAATTTCTTGTTAAAACTAGAATTTTCAGAAGAAAACTTAGTTTAAAAACATATTGTTTTTATTATAATGCCTAAAATTGGGAAGCTTTCTTTTATAGAAAGGAGCCACTCTAACATAATTTCAAATATATGTCCAATTATTTGCTCCATCCAGTTAAAAAAATTCTTTTGGTACACAAGAAGCTTTCATTTGAAATGGAAATATCCTAACTAATGGAAGAAAAACAGAAAATTTATGGGAAATGAAGCTAAATTAATGGTTTTCTACTTGCTTCTTGTATATATTCCATTTTTAAAAGAATCTGATTTTATGCATTTTATATTGTCAGTCATCTTCATTCATACTGACTTCTTATTGTGGATAATAGCTCCAGATGTGCAACCTACGCATTTTTTCATCCAGTAGAATATTTCACCTAGTGCATATGTAGTTAATTCAACTGATTAACTTCTTCAGTGTATGACACCAAGTAGGTCAAATTCCTAAAGCTGTCTGTATGTGTTCAGGTATTTTTAGCTCCCCCCCCTTCTTTATTCTCATTACTATGGTAACAAAAATTTTGTGACTGAGGACAAGATTTTTGTCTGAAATTCTTCCTTTGGGAAAATGAAGCAACTTTAGGCTACATGTATGTGCTGATCTTAAAAGCTGAAGACTATGCAAACATGATATTGTTTGATATTCACTTAAATCTCAACAAATGAAACTAATAACTATAGAATGGCATGTCTGAAAGTCAGGAAAATAATACATTGTGGTTCTATACCATCTATTCTCGTATCTGCCTAATGTTTTAGAAATTTGAACTTTGAAGGTTTTCCAGTATTTTTCCAGCATGTAAATAGAACTTTTAGTTTATTTTCTGCAGTTAAAATGAACAGAAAACAACAACGAAGAGAAGTCTCTTTTCACTATGGAGCACTAGACAAAAATCTTGAAATCAGAAACATAGAAGTTCCTTACATGTTATTTAACCTGACATATTTTATGCATCTGAAGAAACTGTGACTTAAAATAGAATGTGAATTATTTCAGGCTCCCTGACTAGTTAGTGGCAAACTATGACTAACTTCTGGGCCTCCTGCTCCTCAGGGCACAGTTTTGTCCACCATAAACAGACAACACTGCATTTTATTTTTTGCTGTTTTAAAAGAAAAGACTTTATTAAATGGGAAACATATAATGATTTTCCCTTAAAATTTTTTTTCATATGAACAGGAACTCTATCAATAAAATTTTAATTATGTAGGAAAGGGATTAAAGAGGATTTAGAGAGATAGTAGAAGATTCTAGGATAAAAGAAATGTGAGACACTGGCAAATTCTGGTGGTAAAAAAAAATGCAGAAGTAAAAAAAAAGCACAAGTATTGGAGGTAACACACTACAACAGCCTTATTTTAAATAGCTTCTAAAAAATTTAGCACATATTTATTGTAAAACATTTTGTAAATACACACTAAAAACAAGAGATGAAATGAAAAATACTGGCAATTTTATGTTCCAGAATGCCATGAAGCTAGTGACTAGGGTCAACTAGAATAGGTAGTCAGGGCTTATATGGATCTCCTAGTGCCACCATTAACATTTGGGGAGAATATTTGACAATCTTCTTTTTTTTTCTTTTTCTTTTGATCACACTGTATATTTATGTTGCTGGTACAAATCTCAGTCCATGAACTCCCTGTTTTTCTATAACAAGTTAATTTTTATTTCTAGCCTCTAGAAAATCGAATGTCAGTCAATCTGACTTTTTGTTCTTTTTTTCTGAGGCTATGGCTAAATAAGGATAGAGGGCATTTATCTAGTGAATAGCACATGGAGTGTCTACCTGATCTGCAGTATCATCTTTTGACAGGCATTGCTTGGTGTATTCATTTGCTAGGGCTGCCATAACAAAATACCACAAACACGGGTGTGGATCATAGATCACTTTGTGTTTATCATACTTGGGTTCATTGAACTTCTTAGAGCTCTAGATTAATGTTTTTCATCAAATCTGTCCATTTTTCAGCCATTTTTTTAGTACATTTTCCTCTCTCTCTCTCTTTTCCTTCTAGGACTCTTATTACACTTATATGAATACACTTAATGTGTCCCAGAGGTCTCTGAGGCTGTGTTTACCATTTTTTCAATTTTTGTTCTGTTCTTCAAAGTGGATAGTATCTACTGATCTATCTTCAAGTTTACTTTTTCCCTTCAGCTTTCTCAGATCTGTTGCTGTACTCATTTTGTAAAGGTTCCATTTTGTTGTTATGTTTTTCAACTCTAGAATCCATTTAGTTACTTTTTTAGATTCTATTTCTTTTGATAATGCCCATTTTTGAGTAATTGTCATATTTTCCTTTAATTCTTTAAATATAATTTATTTTAATTATTTGAGTATATTTATAATAACATCTTTGAGGTCCTTGTCTGCTAAATCTTGTATCTAAGTCCACTCAGAGTTGGTTTTTGTTGACTGTTTTTTGCCTTGAGTGTGGGTCACACTTTCCTATTTATTTGAATATTTCTGTTGAATACTGGACGTTTTAGGTAGTATGTTGTTGTAACTATGGATTCTGGCTTCCCCACTCCAAGGATTTATTTATTTAGTAACTTGTCTGGACTTAGTATCTGGAATCTGATCTGTCTTCCCTTTGACCCCCGCCAGGTGTTTAGCGATTCATTTCCCTGCTCAGTTATTGTTTTAATTTTTTTTTTTAGAGTGGCTTTTCAAAAGTCTGTCTCTGAT